AGACAGTAATTCGAGGGTTGATGAAAAAGAAGACCCCTAGAAGTTGTGTTGACATGATGGTTGCAGCAATGGACTCAAACATAACAATTGCAACAATGGCGCAGAACCAAGCAGTGTTTCATTCTGTGGTACATAGGGTTACTGTGAGTTAGAGACCATTCACCAACACTTAATAATGACAACAACCACAAGTGTGTATGAGAGAAACCAACTGATGATAAAAGAGGGAACAGAGAGTGTAGGAGGAGGGAGTGAATTTAGATATCAGATGCTGTTGATTGGTTATGTTAGATGAAGAATGAGAATCAACCATTAGTTTTAGGGAGAGGGGGTCATATGACCTTGATTGGTGACTTCGATGAGAGAGCATTTTAATGGGATGACAAGGGCATGATGGTCTTGGATTCAGTTAAGAAAAATATGAGACACCTTACAGACTCCCACACCAGGACTCCCTAGAGGACAAATTAGTTAGATAAGAAGAATTCAAGACACTGAGAAACTAAGAGGTTGGATTCATCTGTGTGTATGTTGAAATCTCCAGTCATTGTAGTATAGAGTGGCAAGGACCAACTTTTTTTTTTTTTTAGATGTTTTGCCCCAAAGGGTTGCAGCCAATGAAGCAGTAGATGATGAAGAATTGGAGTTAAGAGAGTTCTAAAATTTTATTATGAGAGAATTAATAGCATGGCTTTATACTGATTGGAATAGTTGAATCGATGATATAGGAAAGTAGCAAATGTTCATTAATAGGTGCCAAGGGATGCACTCTAGTGTATGAGTTAGGCTAGTTTACCTACACCAACAGATTGGGAGTCAAAGGCTTGTGTGGTGTAAACTTTGATAGTAAGAAAGAAGAAAGAGGTGTTGGAAGTGTGAGGAAGAAGAAGGTATGAACTTATTGTCTAGTGCAGAGGAGGGGGCAATGCTGAGGGACCAGCTGGGGTCATGGTGATGATTGTAAAGTAGACCAGCCAGTTCTTATATGGGTTTTCTTCAGACTCTTTATTTAGCAGCATGTGTGTAGGTATGATGTGGGCAGAGAGTAGTCATGAAGTGCCACACAAATACAGCAAAATAATGAAGGTGAAGAAGGATTTACAATAATTGGTCGTGCAGTTTAAAGTGGGCTGGGATAAAAGAAGGAGTCCTGGTGTAGCGTTGTGGGTTAATGCGCTGGGCTGCAAAGTCGGTTTGAGCCGCAAGGTTGGCAGTTCAAGTTCACCAGTCACTCCTCAGAAGCCCTATACAGGGTTGCTATGGGTCAGAACCAACTTGAGGGCATGTAACAACAACAACAGGAGGAAAGAAAATTTATGATGGGGGTAAGGGACAGTGTAAAGCTGAACTAATGACTTGGAATTCCCTATGGGCTCAAGGAATGTTGAAGTTGGAGTACTAGACGAGTGAAAAGATCAGGGGTTTGATGTTCAGAGATGGGAATGCATAGTTATGGAGGAACCATAGTTATTATTGCCAAGGTCTGGGATAGAACACGCCAGTGAGTGAGTGAGGCAGGGCTGTTGAGTGCCGTCGAGTTGGTTCCAACTCAGAGTGACCCTGTAATAGGGTTTCTAAGGAGCGGCTGGTGAGTTTGTACTGCCTCCTGTGATTCAAACCGACCTTGTGGTCCAGTACTTTATTTATCCCCAGTACCACACCAGGACTCCTTAAGGAACTCTGGTAGCGTAGTGGTTACGAATCGGGCTGCGAACCTTAAGGTCAGCAGTTCGAAACTACCAGTCGCTCCGCGGGAGAAAGATGAGGCTTTCTACTCCTGTAAGGATTTACACCCTCGGAAACCCTGTACAGGGTCGCTATGGGTCGGACCCGACTCGATGGCACTTAACAACAACAACAACACCACACCAGGACTCCTTAGAGGACACATTTATTAGAGAAGAGGAGTTCAAGACACTGAGAAACTAAGAGGTTGGATTCATCTGTGTGTATGTTGAAATCTCCAGCCATTGTAGTATAGAGTGGCAAGGAACTAAAAATTTTGAGGGTGAATAACAAGGTAGTAGATGACTGTAACAATAAGACCATGTGACTTCCAACTAGAGGCTTTGGGGGCTGAAGATAGGGAAGGACAATTTGGAAGAAGCAGAGAGGAGCAAAGAGCTAGAGTTACTAGGGCTGTAAGAGGAAGTGGAACAACCAGTTGAGATGGTTGCAGAAGACGTGTTCTCAGAGGAAAGCCGGGTTTCAGTTGGAGCAAGAAGCCCACATGAACATCAGAGAGGGTACCGGGCATGTAGAGGACTTTGCTGGTGATGCAGCATGGATTTCATCCTTACTGGAAGAGTCTCACGACTTAAGAGATGAGAGATAGAAAACTTGGGAGATGGACAAAGCCATATGGAAATTAGAGTGAGAGATGTGAGGGAGACTTCAGGATGTGTATATGTATGTGTGCATGTGTGTAGTTGTATATTAAGTTGTACATTAATATGTGTTTGTGCATAAACATGTATATGGGTGTGTGTGTACATATGTGAGTGCATTTGTGTGACTGGTATAAGCAGGAATAAGGGGCGCAGTGAGGTGAGACATAAGGTAGATGGTGGTGGCAGGCTTTGAACCCTGGATACAGGAAGAAGTAAGTGGGTGTCTGGGCTTATGCTTATCCCTGTCTGTGAGTGAAGAGACCTGGGAACATGGGAGACTCAATCTCAGAGACTTTAGTGTGTCTGCAGAAGCTGAGCAGGTAGAAGATGTGAAGGGATGGTGTCAGTGTGGGGCCCATCCTACCTTTGGGAGGAAGCGGGTATACACTCTGTCTTTCCTTTGACTTGAAGCCAGTAAATAAGAGTAACAGTTAACATTTCTTATGTGCTTACTATGAGCTGTATTCTATGCCAAATACTTCAAAGGGATGCTGAAACTCTCACAATAGTTTCTAGAGGTTATTCCCTTAATTACACAGGAGGGATCTGCAGTTTAGAGAAATGCAACACCTTGCTGAAGGTCACATAGCTCCTCAGTAACTGACAGTTAAATCAATGGTGCTATACTTAAGCTCACCAGCTGCTCCTTGGAAACCCTAGGGTCACTATGGGTCAGAATCGACTCGACGGCACTTAACAACAACAGTATTATCCATAAGGAGCTCTGGTAGTGTAGTGGTTACGAGTCGAACTGCTAACTTTATGGTCAGCAATTCAAAACTACCAGCTGTTCCGTGGGAGAAACATAAGGCTTTCTGTTCCCTTAAAGATTTACAGCCTTGTAAACCTTATGCAGGGTCACTATGAATAGGAACCAACTCCATGGTAAACATACACCATCACCACCATATTATCCATGACAGGTTTTCAGACTGATGTTACTGATGTTGAGACTTTAAATGCAACTTGTCCATGAGCCTTTAAAACTATCTCCAGCCACACATCATGGTTGTTCTTTACATACTGCATTGCGTGTGGCATCCTGGTGTGGTACTGTGGGTTAACGCGCTGGACTGCAAGTTTGGTTTGAACTGAAGGTCGGTGGATCAAGTTCACCAGCTGCTCCTCAGAAACCCTATACAGGGTTGCTATGGGTTAGAACCGACTTGATGGCATTTAACAACTGCATTGCATTGGCATCGCAATTCTTTTTGTGTTAAGAACACTTCTCACTCTTCGCACTTCCATGTAGAATACAGCCAAGACCATGTAGCACACACATATACATGCAAATACATGTATGCACACACTCCAGACTCTATACAGGCTAACAGGTTTTGACAGTAAAATTTATTAAAAACTATGCTATATTGTAGTTGTTGTTAAGTACTATTGAGTTGGTTCTGACTCAGCGACCCTGTCTAGGGTTTCCAAGGAGCAGGTGGTGAGTTTGAACCGCTGACCTTGCAGTTCAAACCGACCTTGAGATCGAGTGCTTATCCTACAGCTCCACACCAGGAATATTGTAGTTGATATGTGGCTTGATGTTTCTAAAATGCTTCATGGATAAACATTCGCAATTTAGACTTGAGAACGCTTGTGAGATTGTGAATCACACACATTGCCAGAGCAACAGAACCTTGAAACGTTGATGTATTCAAAAGGTTTCTGAGTTTCTTACTTTATAACGGCTGTCCTCTTTCCTTCCTCTTTTATTTATTTTTTATTTTTTCATCTTTTATTGTGAATCAAGTGAAGGTTTACAGAGTAGAACACCAGTTTTACATTCAGCAAATCATATACTACCTCGTTACAACGATTGCACTACTCTCCATGTACACAGTTTACAGTATTTACCTTGGTTCACTTTAGCATTGCATTTCTCCTGTATCTCCTGCTACCATCGTATTTCCTCTGCCAGATTTTCTCTTGTTGTGTTGCCTGCCTGTCACCTGTGTTAGCATGTGTCTACCCTCTAGTCCCTGAAGAATTTTCACTCCTTCACCCCATAACCATCATAAATTGTTTCTTTATCAAGAAAACCTGTTTTTTTTTTTACAACATTGGTTTCCTACAATATTTGCCCTTGTGTGATTGACTAATTTCACTCATCATAATGCCCTCTGGGTTCATCCATGTTGTGAGATGTTTCTCAGATTATTCTTCAGTGTTGTGTAGTATTCCACTGTGTATGTACCAAAGTTTGTTTACTAACTGTGAAGGATCCTGTTTCTGTATCCATTCTGCTCTCTGTATATCTTGTGTGGTGCATTTAATGTATTTACATTCAGTTTAATTATCCATAGGTATGAATTGATTGCTGTGTATTTGCTGGATTTTTTTTTTTTTTTTGTGTGTGTGTGTGTGTGTGTGTGTGGTGCTGTTTCTTTGTTCCACATACTTTTCTGCACTGAGTTAATTTTGTGATTTTTGGGTTTTCTTTGTATTTTCAATTTGATTGTCTTAATGCGTACTAAATCTTTCTGATTTTTCTCTTATTTTGCAGTTGTGTTCATTTTCTTTGAGGTGATCCTGAAATTATTAATATTTTTCCCTATTTAAAATTATCTGTATTATCTTGTTATCTATTTGATCCTCTTTTTTTAACAGCTGAGCAAGAACATATTCAGAAGAAGACCTTCACCTGCTGGATAAATTCACAGTTGGCAAAGGTAAGGGAAAAAATGACAAATTAAGTTATATAAGTTTCTTACTCCCTCAAATTTGGCCCCAAGGAGGCCGTTCATAATGGTACTAATGATGACATATGAATATAAACAGGTTTGAACCAGATCAGTCATGGCCTGTGCAGACCCAAATTTGAAAAATGTGTGTGAACCAGAACAGGAAAGATGGCAGGAGGGTCTCAGGAGAGGTGTGCTGAGCCCTTTCAGGAGCCTGATGCAGGAGGCTGGACTATTGACCCACCTTCAAAGCAGCATGGTTGGCTATGGTGCCATCTTTGAGGCAGAGACTGTTATTTTGGACTCGATGGTCAAGAGATTTGGTTGCTATGCAACACACATGCTGCACTTGCTTTCTAAGAGGGAGATTTCATTTTTAACAAGGTGTCAGTGTGTAATTTTTCTCCATTCCAGTTATTGTTCCGATACACCCACAATTTACTAATTTGAGTCTGTTCTGGTTTCATTTCTTTGGCCATGACTGAACTGGTTTGTCAGGAAAGAGCTGGTTTGAAGCCCGGCATATAAAAGACAGTTGGTTGTCTTTCTTGAAAAACTGTGCTGAAAGTCACCTTGATTTTGTTTTGATGTTTTTTGGTATTCTTTCCCATTATGTAAACAACTACATTTTTAAGGGCATGAGACAGTGATATAAAAATATTTATAAAGTTGTATTATAGAAAAATAGAATGAAAAGTTAGTGGAATTCTTCAATGAACTTCTTAAAGCCCTTTCACGAATTGACTGTTGGCTATGTGTTAGGCCCTGTCCAAAGCTCTTTAAATGAAATAACTCATTTAATTGTCACAATATCCCTTTATCATAGATGGTGTTACTGCTTAAAAGACAAGGCGAGTGAGGTACAGAAATTAATGTGACTTGCCCATTGTCACACAGTTTGTAGTTGATAGTGTCAGGATACAAACCCAGGCAGTCTGGACCCTGGAGGACTTGATTGTAATCACTGAGCCATCCTATCTTTCACGATGGCAAGTAGCTGCTGTAAACTAGATATGCAAAGAATGAGTCTCTTCTGACAACTGTCCCCTGTGTGCCCATCCCAGCATAATGCTTGTCTTTCTAAAAAACGAAATACATAGCAGGCTTACTCTAGAAATGTAATCTGCTCTCCAAATGGGTCACTGTTTGTTGATTATGAATGTCTGCTTCCAAGCACAGATATTTGATACCATGAATGTTCCACAGATGAAAGACTGTTGTGTTGTTGGAAATTTGACAGGAGATAAATTAGGTTCATTACTTTTATCATGTTTGGGCCTATGGAATGTTGTGCGTTATGAAACGGTGTGCATTATCTATCATTCAGTTGATTAAAAAGAAAATCACCACTAAAAAAAAGATACAGTGTACATGTATGAAATTCTTAAAGGTATTGCAGTCCTGGTCAGAGTTGGAGTGATTATTTTTCTGATGATTATTTGCAGCGCACTCCCTGTACATTTGTATCAGACCTATTCACAGACATTAAAAAGGGACATGTCCTTCTGGACCTGTTAGAAGTCCTTTCAGGACAACAACTGGTAAGCTTTTATGTGACATCAAGAAACTTTTCATTGCTTAAAATATAACTTTTGTATTTCTGAGTGATATATTTTGTTTGAACTTCATAGCCTCGTGATGTAGGATCTAATACATTCCAGCATAGAATCAACATAGAACACGCTCTGACATTCCTGAAAAAACGATCTGTGAGTATGAATTTCACATGAAAATCCATAGGAGAAATTCAAGCTTTAATTAAAATTAATTTGAAATACTTTCTCCTTTTTAACCTGCATGCCTTCTTTTCCAGATCAAGCTAATAAATATTCATGTTACTGATATTATAGATGGAAACCCATCCATTATTCTTGGCCTAATTTGGACAATTATTCTGCACTTTCATGTAAGTTGTATGGTGATATAAAAGTTATTTCTACTCTAATAACTGTAGTATGAAATAAGTGTCATGAAATGAACGCAACTCGGTGCTTAAATCATAATAAACTCCAAACCAAACTTACTGTCGATTTTGAATCTTAGCAACCCTGTATAGGGTTTCTGAGGCTGTAAATCTTTATGGGAGCAGAAAGCCTCATCTTTCTTATGCAGAGAGGGTTTGAACTATTGACCTTGCAGTTAGTAGTCCAGTGCTTATTGTATAGTTCCATACCATCCCCCTTTTCATAATGCTCCTTTCTAAGGAGCAGCTGATTAACTTGAACCACCAATCTTGTAGTTCAAACAGTCTGGTGTATTAACCCACAGCACTACACCAGGACTTATAACTTTTCATTAGGGTTGTATTTAACATATAGAAAAATTACAAAAATTATCATCTTTAAACTATTGCATCTTCTAATCTATGAGTCTAATATATTTCACTGTTGTTGTATTGAAAGTTTTTTCACTATGGTTTCTCCTTTGACCGAAGGATTATTTAAAAATATATTGCTTAATTTCTGAATAATTAGAGATTTTGTTTGGTACAGCATCATTACTGATTTCTAGCTTGATTTCAGTGTGGTCAGAAAAATATAATCTGAGTGATGACAGTCCTTCCAGATTTCTGAAGTTTGCTTTATTGTCCAGAATGGTCGGTTTTTAGTAAATGTTCCATATGCACTTGAAAAGAAATGTTGATTCTGCCATTTTGGTTCCAGTGGTAAAGACAAAGCAGATCAGCTTTGTTAATTTTCTTGGTCCTGTCTACTATTCTTTTTTTTTCTTTAAGGTTTTAATTGTAGATTGAGCATAAGTTTACAGGGCAGATCATCAGTTTTACATTCAACAAATCATACACCTTGTTTCATTACAATGATTATAATCCCACCCCCCACCCCCCATGTACCATCAGTTAACAGTATTTCTCTCTATTCACTTTAGCTTTTTTAAAAAAACAAAAAACAGGCATATATAATAATTTACACCTCAAAAGGGCACATTCTGCAAGTCTGGCTCCTGGTTACAAGCTCTTAGACCCTCTCTTCCCATGAATCTAGAGTCCTCAGCTGTTCTCTATCTCTATGTCCCCATCTCTGCCTCCATCTCTGGCGTTGCTGCTTCTCTGGATAAGGTCCTGCATTCTGCTCATGCTCTTCTCCCTTGATGGTCCTAGGATCCTCTGTTTCTGGACTATAAGATTAACCACTCCCCTATTTTTGTTACAAAACTTCTGCCTTGTCAATTGTAACAGTTTGCAATTAGTCATAATGATAATTATTCACTATTGAATCATACAAATCTTATCCCTATCTCTTTTCACCAGACCCATCTAGACAAGATGAAAACTATTCAGTGGGGACTCTTCCTCTGCCCACCCCACCCCTGCCACCACACACTCTTAAACTAAACTCCCTCTTGAAACCTTGTAAGCCAGTCACTTCGTGCCTTTATTGCCCCCTCATTTTAGATCGCCAATGTCTTAAGTTTCCCGTCCCTATCTACCCTGTGTACAGAGGGGATAGCATTGATACTTGATATGAAGACTCCTTCCCTCTCTATTGGTATTTAGAGTTACTACACCATGAGTATAGGTCAGGTTCCCCAAATTGTAGCAATTTACCCTTGTTTCCTTTATCAAAAGAAAAAAAATTGTTTTTTTTTGGTAATCTTTCTCTAGTTGAGTTCTGATTATCAAGCCATCGAGGCTAGGTAAAATGAGTACTGTCGGCAAGTTTGGGTGTTCTTGTGCATCTCCCCTCACTTCGTATCAGCTAGAAACATCACTCTCAGCTCTAGCCCTCTCTGGCTATGTCCTTGTCCATGACCTCAAGTGTCCCCAGGTCTCACCACACTTTGGACCAACCAGCCCTTCCTCTTCTCTCTCTCATCTCCAGGTCAATAGGAGTCAATTATCTGTGGTTGACCTCAGCCTATTTCTTCATTGCTGCCTTTCCCCATTTTCCACTTAGCAGTAGACCAATGTGGTCACCAGCAAGCTTACATGCCTGTTCATATGTTCCCTTTGAGTTTCAGTTTTAGAGGGGAGCTTGTCCTGAAGGAACTTGATTGCTTGCCTTAATGTTTTCCTGGCGAACAGCTTGCTTATTCTTGTAGTAGCCAGTCATGCTGACATTTTTGTTTTGGATTTTTCCTGATGATCTTTCTTTGAAGATGTATCTTCTGTCACTCCAGCTGTTCCAGGCTGGTCTGCTTGTCCTTTCTAGTGGAAATGTCCCATCTCATAAGGTTCTGGATGGGATTCAGGATTCCACCTAAGGTCCTATACTCTGCAAAGGCTTTCCAAGAGGCCTATTTCACTTAGAAAGTTCTAGAACACCTTTTAGGTATTTTAGTCAGTTATAGGCTGAAGATGGGCTTACAAGTTTCTGTAATCATGTTTCCCAACATTCCTTTCTATCCCACTCAAGTGTCAATTTTATAATAGTAGACAAGGAAAACCTATACTCAGAAGACAGTCAAGGATTTTAGTATTATTTCACCTCTTCAAACTATGCCTAGATCCCTGTATCCCAGAGCCCTGTTGTTCCAAGGTTGAGCATGCATCACTATTTATCTCTGTCCCACTTAGGCCATGCAAACCTGTCTCAGTGTTCCCCTATCTATCTTGGTCTTCTGCCTCCTCCCCCTTGTTGTATTGCCCTCCCCAACACCTGAACTGAACCCTGCACCCCAACCCCACTGTTGTGGTTACCTTATATTCCATTAACTCTTCCTCTGTTTAAGACAGTCTATTGTATCCTATAATCTATCTGATCTTCTTACCACCTGGATCTCTGTTCCTCTGTGTTTACCTTCTTTCACATTATAAATGTTTTGATCATAGACTGACCTCCCAGATCCTCTGTTCTTGACTCTTCCATTTGTTGATTGAGTTCAGGGTGATGCTAACATGTAAGTCATTCTCTGTTATCTGTTCTTGTTGGTTCTCAGTCCACAGAACTCCCTTTAGGATGTTTTGCAGTGCAGGGTTGGCTTTGGCAAAATCCCTTAGCTTTTGTTTGTCCTGGAATGTTTTGATTACACCATCATATTTGATTGACACCTTTGCTGGGTAGAGGATTCATGGTTGGCAGTTTTTTTTCTTTCAGGGTTTTATATATGTCTCCCCATTGCCCTCTTGCCTGCATGGTTTCTGTTGAGAGATCGAGCTTAATCTGATTTGCTTGCTTTTGTATGTTATAATTCTCTTTTCCCTAGCTGCTTTCAGGATTCTGTCCTTATCTTTGAATTTGGAGAGCTTGATTATTATATGTCTTTGGTGATTTTCTTTTAGGGTCTATACTTCCTAGGGTTCATTGAGCTTCTTGAGTGCTTATCTTTTCATTTTTCAGAATGTTAGGAAAATTTTCTTCCATAAGCTCTTCAACTATCTCCTTTGTGGACTTGTGTGATTCTTCCTGTTCTGGAATTCTGATAATTCTTGTTATTCCTTTTCATGATGTCCAACATGAATCTTAGTCCTTCTTCAGGTTTTTTAATCCTTTTTTGTGCTTGCTCTTCTATCTTAGTAGTGTTGAGAGATATATCTTCTAGCTCACTAGTTCTGGCTTCCATCTCTTCAGTTCTATTCCTTTGCCCTTTCAATATATTGTCCATTTCTGATATTCTATTATTAATCATTTGGACCTCTTTCTGTAGATTTTACATTGTTTCCAATGCTCTTTCCTGATTTCTTCCTTATTTTTCTCAACTCCATAGTATAGTGTTTTGATACCTTTTATAATCATTTTTAGGAATTCCATCTCCGGCATTTCCAAAGCCTGCCCATCTTCCAGTATGGAGTGTAGGTCTACTTCCAGTTAATTTGCTTTAGGCACTTTATCTTGTTTCTGGACATGTGCTGATATGGTCATCTGTTTCTGTTTTTTGGGAATATTTAGGAGTTACCTGTGGCCTTAATACCTAGATGGGCGTGTATTTTGGTATTTTTTTATGCTTTCTGATTGTTTCCAGGTAAATGTGATTCCCTTTTCACTCTTCCTCCTGAGAAATTTCAAGATGCCACTGTTGGTCATTGTGACATAACTCAGAATTTAATTTTAGTCCTATTTCCTAGTGATAAACAGTTCAGGGCCAGCTGTGGTCATTTTCACTGCTGTTTGGTTTTAAGTGGAAACTGTCACTTTAAATTTTGAGGATATCCATGCGCATGCATAGTAGAACCCTCTGGGAGTGGGGGTGGGATGTCCACTCGCTCAGGCACCCCCTCTGGTCAGCAACATGGAGAGACCAATGAACAGGTACCAAAAAAAGAAAGTCCACACTTTTCTCTCTGCGGTTCTGTCAGGCACCCATGGCTGCTCTGATCCTTCCCCCCTTGGTCTTGCCCAAGGTGGCGGCTCTTGGAGCAGCTGAGCATCTTGAATTAGAAAGCAATGGATTTCTTGCTTCTGCTACAAATTCTCCGAGTTGTAAGCCTTCCAACCTTCTAAACGTTCCTTTATATATGGTTCAGAATTCTGGCACCATCCCCTGAGCCTGCTTGGTCCAGTATTCTGTGTTGTCACTGATGGAGCTCATCACTGCACTTCCACCCTCTCCGCCATCTTTTTTGTTCTCCCCAGTCTACTATTCTTGATTATCTTATAATTCTTACAATTACTAAGTAATGTTTGTGGATTTATCTTTGAAATATTTGGGTGCATATTATTAAATTGCCCATCAAAATATTTGAACCAATTTGTGCTTTTATCTGCAATATATGAATATCTAGTTTCGGATACTTCCAGCATCACTTGGGTATTATCTCTTTAAATTGTTTGCATGTGTTACTTTTTTTTTTAATGTTTTGATTTAAATTACTATTTAGATTGTTTTTCATATTCTTATTGGCAATTTGTGGTGTTCTTTGTCTTTTTTCCTTGGAATTTCCCTGCATGTATTTTTCCTACCCCCACCTTTATTTATATTCATATCTTAATGATTGATAGTCAGAGATGCATTTTAATTGACCTATTCATTCTGAAGATACTCAGAATAGGAACTCAATTCTGTTAAGTCCAATTATTTGGCAAGTGTTGAGTACCCAGTAGAATGTTTTATAAGCTCGTTATTGGGACAGATAGTTGCTTGCCTTCAGTGTGGAATGCCCTGCCTGGGTGAGGGCATGAAATAATCCATATCTAGGTTGAAGGAAAACCCAAGTGAAGCTCTAGATGAGAAATGCTGCTATTCAAGGATTTGGTCCATGAGTTAACTGCCAACTCTGATATAATACTTTATAGTGTTTTACTCAATGATTCTGTATATGTTCACTATTATTCTCTTCCTTAGATTGAGAAGCTTGCCAGAACGCTTTCTTGCAATTACAATCAACCCTCCATGGATAGTGTGAGTGAAGTTGACTCATCTCCTACCTCAAGTCCTCCAGCGAAGAAATGTTCCAAAGTCCAAGCAAGATGGCAGATGTCTGCAAAGAAGGCTCTTCTCTTGTGGGCTCAGGAACGGTGTGCTGCGTAAGTAGTTTGCTATGATCAGAGAAGACCCATAGGGTAGTTGTATGTACCAACTCAACCTTACTGACCCTCAGGCCTGCTAGCCAGGCTGACTGGGTAAAACAGACACCCAGACACTGCTGTCTCAGAAGAAACTGCTCAATATTACCCCTATCTTTCACAGTGAATTTTCCTATCTGGAGTTTTGTGAGTTCCATAACTTCAAGTTCTCAAGGCTAGACATGGGGTCATGTGGGAAACCTACCTGTTTCCTGCCCCATGCTCAGGTTGTTGATATTAAGTGCCACTGAGTCAGTTCCAACTCATAGTGACCTTGTATAGGGTTTCCACAGAGCAGCTGGTGAGCTTGAACCACTGACCTTGGGGTTCAAACCGACTTTGCAGTCCAGCTCATTAACCCAAAGTGCTACACCAGGACTTTTATTGTGTGGAAATAAAGCAACATTTTAATACACTTTTCATCAGTCACAGTTCCATCTGGAAGGGGAATTTAGATTTTAAAACTTTTACCATTCTATGAGCTTTTTAAAAGTCAGGACTATGATTAATTGACTGTGTATCCCCAGCACCTGAAATAATGCAAGTGTATTTTTTGTTTAATAAAGGAATGAATAAATGAACAGATAGATGAATTAGTAACCAACACATGATATCACCTTTTGGTACTGTGTATAATTAAGGAGATCTGGTGGTATAGCGGGTTACACTGTGGGCTGCTACTTCAAAGTCAGCAGTTCAAATCCATCAGCTGCTCCGTGAGAAAAAAGATGAGTTTTTTTGTTCCCCTCTGCATAAGCTTGCTATGAGTCAGTACTGACTAGATGACACCTAACAACAACAACAAAAGATTTATAGTCTTGGAAACCCTGTACAAGGTTACTGTGAGTCAGAACTAACTTGAAGGCACACCACGAGCACTGTATGCAATTATATTAAGAGACCATGGTGGTGGTGGTGGTGCTCTGTGGAGTCAGTTCCGACTCATAGCAACCCTATTACATAGGGTTTCTGAGGCTGTAAATCTTTATGGGAGCAGAAGGCCTCGTCTTTCTCCCCTGGAATGACTGGTAGCTTTGAACCCTCAAGTTATCAGTCTGACTCCTAACAACTACGCTACCAGAGACCATAGTCCTTATAATTTAGAAGCCACAGTTCATTAAGACAACAAAGCACTGGGAAAGTAGACATGACGATGAAGGAAAATTAAACCCCAAACCAAACTCTCTGCTACTGACCCAATTCTGACTCGTAGCGACCCTGTCGGACAGAGAACTGCTCTGTAAGGTTTTCCAGACTTTAAATCTTTAGGGGAGCAGATAGCCTCTTTAGTTTCCTGTGGAGCAGCTGGTGGGTTTGAACTGTCAACCTGTGCCTAACCATGTCAGTAAGTAAATTATAAGTTAGTGCTCATAATTTCTTTTTCACCCCCTTCAAAAAATCCTTATTTTGTGTTTTTAGGAGACATTTACTTTTTTATTTTAAGCAACTTCTGGGTTGGCATTTCAGAAGAATAGGAGTTAGGGTATAGGAGAGTTCACCACAAGAGTTGCTGAAGAGTTTAGAAGGCATTCCTCATCACACGTGGCACCTCAAGGCAAATAAAGTCATAAGCATGTTGTACCCTTTCAAATGTCTGGGCTTCTGAGTTCCTTCTGCCTAATGAAAGGCTATGATGTTCATTTCTCCTTCAGTCTCATCTTTATTTAGCTGTCTTTCAGCCTGTCTAGTTCATGAGGGTTGCAATGCCTACATCTTACCACTTTTAAGTACATTAAATGAACTTTTTCTTGAATCCCCTAGAGACAGCTGTACTTCACTTTTCTAATCCAAAACGCAGTATGCGTGAGAAACATTATTACATCAGATTCGGATTTGTTTCACTTATGCATAATTAACATTCAAACTTGTTCAAATTCCATAGATTTTATAACAGTTCCATTTTTTATCCAGGTCCTTCCTGCTCTTTCAAACATAGGGCCTATGCTCAATGTACTAAGATGCAGCATCTTTTCTTAACTAATTCACCATGTAGTCAACCTAATTTTGACTGTCGTTGATGGCATTAGGTGATGTTTCTTTCAATATGCTCTTATGATCTGGGATTCAGATATAGGACTATGTTGTAAAAAATACACTTTCTTTTCTTATTTGTGAAGTAGGTGAATCAGACCCTGGTTCTCTCCTCTAAATGAGTCCAGATACTGCCAATCATAGTGGGGCCTAGCCCTGCCTGCCCTCAGACCTGGCAGTAATATGTTCCTTTTGTTACTTGCTTTGACTTGGTTAGTGAAGAACTGACCTCACAACCTGGTGCTCTACTGAGTACAGTCTTGCCAATTAGAGCTGAGATGGTCCTGCCCCAGCCTCATCTTTCTGGAGTTGCCCTAGCTCTTCCCTCAACCCCAACCTCCTATCAGTTTAGTTTCGTACGTAAGAGCGTAGTTTGGATTCAGAATGTTGTTGCTGCTATGTGCTGTCAAGTCAGGTCTGACTCATAGTGACCCTGTATAGGGTTTCTGGGAGTCCTGGTGTGGTGTTGTGGGTTAATGAGCCAGACTGCTCCTTGGACACCCTATACAGGCTCGCTATGGGTTGGAACCGACTTGATGGCACTTAACAACAGTAATAGGGTTTCTGAAGCTGTAAATCTTTACAGGTGCAGAAGATTTCATCTTTCTCCTGCGTAGCGCTGGTGGCTTTGAACTGCCGATCTTGTGGATAGCAGTCCAGTGCTTATCCTACAGCAACCACCAGTGCACCTCTGGATTTGGAAAACTTGGGTTTAAGTCTTGATTCCTACCTATTTCTGACTGATGATCTTTGTTTGTGCTCTGTTTCCCTCAGGGAGAACATGTGGACAATAATGTTTACTTCATAGTTGTCACAATAGAGTAAGAATTAATCTTTAAAGCATTTGGAATAGTTCCTGGACACAGCAGTAAACACCGTGTAAATAAAACACAAATCACTAACTACTGTGTAGTTTATAACAATCATAGTTTAGGCTTTTTCCCTAAGAGGAACCAAGCTTTATCATTTGATTTCTACTTTAAAATAGTCCGTTGAATGTCCTCATTTTTTAAATGGGATATTAAAGGAAATGAGGTGTTCTGGGAAGCTGGGTAGTGAAAAGGTTTCAGTTCTCAACAACTAGCCCAAAGGTCGGTGGTTCAGGTCTACCCAGACCTTCCATGGAAGATCAGCTTCTGAAAGGTCACAGCTAGAAAACTGTATGAAACAGTTCTATTCTGCACACATCAGGTCACCATGAGTCGGAACTGACTTGAGGATATCCAACAAGAATAAGAGTTGTCCTGGAGTATTTCTCAAACTTTTGGGCAAAGAATACTCTTACAAAACTGTCACTTATCCCTTCTCAATACAGGGTTTCAAGCAAAAGAGTGACACAATCTGTGTATCTGATGTGGCACTGGAGGATGAGCACTCGACCTCAAGGTCTGTGTGAACCACAAGGCCGGTGGTTCAAATTCACCAGCCACTCCTCAGAAACCCTCTACAGCCGACTCAACGGCACTTAACAATAACAAAAATGAGCTACTAACTTATCAACTGGTAGCGTAGTGGTTACGAATCGGGCTGTGAACCGCAAGGTCAGCAGTTCGAAACTACCAGTGGTTCCGCGGGAGAAAGATGAGGCGTTCTGCTCCCGTAAAGATTTATAGCCTCGGAAACCCTGTGCAGGGTCGCTATGAGTCGGAACCGACTCCACAGCACTTAACAACAACAACAACAACTTATCAACAGGACACAGTATATTGTTTAATTTGTTCTTAGAGAAAGAATATTGCTTTTTATAAGGAGGGATATTACGTTTTTGTAGAGCTCTAAAGTCAGCAGATTGCTAAATGACCAGCATCTACAGCTGTTGTTCTCAAAGCCATTATAAATCACCTGGAGGATCTGTTAGTTACGCATTGCTGGGTGCGCATCCAGGGTTTCATTTCAGTAGGTCTAAGGTGAGGCTCCAAGGAGCTCTTGTAGCGTAGTGGTTACAAGTCAGCTGCTAACCTCAAGTTCAGCTAGTTCGAAAGTACCAGCAGGTCTGCTGGAGAAAGATGAGGCTTTCTGTTCCCGTAAAGATTTACAGCTTCAGAAACCCTATACAGGGTCTCTATGAGTTGGAACCGACTCCACGGCACACCACCACCACTACCACCAAGGTAAGGCCCCAGAATGTGCATTTCTTACAAATTTCAGGCGATGTGGATTCTGCTGATTTTGAGGACCACACTTTTCAATTTGGAATTTTGAATGTTGGATATTTTTGAGTCTCGCTCAATTTGACATTTTACTTGAACTTGGCCACAGACTAAAGAAAGCAGTGTTTTCTCAAATGATTTATATAGTTTATTTGGTCCACTGAATTTTTCATGAATTACTATGAAATATACTGGAGTTGCATTGGTATTTATCATGTTTTCGTCCTTTTCTGATAGACATGAGTCTGTCAGTGTCACAGATTTTAAGTCGAGCTGGAGAAACGGGATGGCTTTTTTAGCCGTCATTCACGCCTTGCGACCAGACTTAATTGATTTAAACAGTATGAAGCATAAATCCAACAGAGACAATTTGAAAGAGGCCTTCAGAATCGCAGAACAAGAATTACAGATCCCCAAATTGCTGGAACCAGAAGGTAACGAAGCTTCTTTCTTTTCAAAACACTTCTTAATTTAAAAGTCTAGCGTGAAGTTGCTATGAAAATAGTGTTTATTTCTTAAACATGACCGCATTATTCTATAGTCCTGGAGAATTGAATTTAAATTCTTAACTGAGTTTCCTGAAATTAAGACTTCTTTCCAATTAGTTGGGGAGCGCAATGACTCCATACGATAAGCATTGGACTGCGAACTACAAGGTCAGTGGTGTGAGCCAACCAGACCCTCCATGGGAGAAAGATGAGGCTTTCTGCTTCCTCAGAGACTTAAAAAAGCTGTGGAAACTCTATACAGGGTCGTTATGCATTGGAACTGATTCCACGGCACTTTCCACCACCACCAATTAATTAATCTAGGTATTTGCAGGATGAAGCCACAGCTGAAAGCAACCATGCTGTTGTTGGAAATGTTTTCAGCCTGTGTGTTAGGTTTTCATTTTTTCTTCTTTTGTTTTCTATATTGTGTTTTCTTTGATTTTACTGTTCTGTTCAATAATATCTCCCATAAGCTATGTTTTACTCAGCCTTGAGTTCCAGTTGCTTACATACCTGCCCTTTCCTACTACCTGCCCTTCCATTAAAGCTGCTGATTTCTGTTTCTCACGATCTTGTCTACCCAGCTGTACCAATTTCATGTGCCCAGCTGTGTTGGATTATTATTATTAATAATTTTTTAAAAAAGCATTTGTACTGGTTATATTCACGAAGATCCTCATGAAACTGTTTTCGCTGCATAAACTTAAGATTAAATAATTAAATTCTTTCTGATAAGTGCTTTGCTTTGGAGTGGATTGTTTTATAATCCACACAAGGAGTCCTGGTGTGGTGCTATTGTGGTTGTTGGTAAATGCCATTGAGTTGGTTCTGACTCAGGGACCCTCTATAGCGTTTCTGAAGCTTTAAATTTTCAGGGGAGCAGAAGATGTCATATTTTTTGTGCGGAGCAGCTGGTGGTTCTCAGTGCAGTGCTTATCCTATGGAGCTAGAGTGTAAGGAACAGTCTCAGCAGGGAGTCAAACTGGAATGAACCAGTTCTAAGCTCTGCTGTAACCAGGAGTGTGTTCGTAAATGTTTAACAACTAACTCTAAAATAACAGTGCCTATATGCATATATGTATACGTACATATATGCAAGTTTACTATAAATTTTAATAATATAAGGGATGTATAGAATATAATTTACAAGTAATAATAAAATATACTGTTGTTGTTACGTGCTGTTGAGTCGATTCCAGCTTACAATGACCCTGTATTGGGTTTCTGAGGAGTAGCTGTTGAGCTTGAACCACCAACCTTGCAGTTCAAATTGACGTTTCAATCCAGCACATTACCCTGAAGTGCCACACCAGGAATTCAAACTAAAATAAATATAGACTATAAATTCAGTAGAGTCCCACAGTACCTTTCTTGGCACCTCTTGGATCTGTAGCCAGCTTCTGGTTGGAATTGATGAACAAGTGTAAGTCAAACACAACTGCGGTTGGTTGATGCCTTCTTTTTACGTTACTGAATAACTGGAACAATGTTAGATGTTTGTCAGAACTTCCCTCAGTCTTTAATGATGTCACTTCTTTGTGTTCAATCTGATACTGAAAGATATTTTCTCAAGTTCCTATACTATTTACAATATACACAAGGACTTCAAAATGTTTGTAGGAAAATTCTATTACCTTTTAATTCCATTTTTTTCACAGACTTGTGTATGTATTGTATGCATACACACACAAATGGGGCATACTTTTGAATTTAATCTGCTTTGCTAGCATTTTCACCATCCTTTTCTTTATAACCAATAAAATAACAAAGCTCACATTTGCTGATTTTTATGGAATAAACGTTCCCAACATGACCAGTTGGTGTGGCGGGTAGGATCAGCACTGGACTTCGCACCACAAGGTCAACAGTTCAAATCAACCAGCTGCTCCTTGGAAACCCTATACAGGATCGCTCTGAGTCAGAACCAACTTGATGGCACTTAAAAATATTGTGAAATCACAGAATACAGAGCTGGTAAGAAATGGATAGTAGCATACCATTGTTTATTACTTCCACCACACAGACACAGTAGATGTAATTCATCTCCAAAGTATAGTTAATGTTAAGCACCATCAAGTCTGGTCTGACTCCTGACAACCCTGTATATGATTATAGAGGATTATAGAAGAGCAAATGTGAGTTTGAACAGTTGACCTTGCAGTTCTAACAGTTCTAATTACTAACTGATTAGTTTTAAGTCTTTATTAACTTTATTTTTAATGTATTAAATTGTACATTTATATAATTTAATTTTTAATAATGGCTGCCTTCAAACGTACCAAATTGTTGAAAATTTATCATTCAGTTCTTTCAAATTGAGCTGTTGCTTCTTGGTTCTAATTTTTTAATATGCAAAAATTGGAGTTGAATAAATATTTGTAGATTCACAGTTAGCTTAATGATTCCATATTTCTTTATATCAGTTGTATGATCTAATTTCATGTTGCTTAAATTTATCCTTCTTGTGAACATTTTTTATATCCTGTTTTTTTTTTTCTCTGCTCTTCTGCCCCCATTTATTTTTTCTTTATTCTCCCCATGTTTTTGCTCTCATTTTCTATTTATGTTTATTGGTTTTGATACTTCTCTTATTGTGATTCCTTATTAATGTTACTAGGTACCATCAAGTCGATACCAATTTACATAGTGACCCTATCACAACAGAACAAAACACTGTCTGGTCCAGCGACAACCTCACAGTTGTTGTTACATCCGAGCCCATAGCTGCTGCCACTATGCCAACCCATCTCGTTGGGGGTCTTCCTCTTTTCATCCGACCCTCCACTTTACCAAATATGATATCTCTCCTAATAATATGTTGAAGTATGAGAGATGAAATCTGGCCAACCTGGGTTCTAAGAAGCATTCTATTCTGGTTGTACTTCCAACACGGATCTGTTTGTTCTTTTAGCAGTCCATGGTATGTTTACTATTTCCCTCCAACACCATACCTCAAATGCATCAATGCTTCTATGGTCATCCTTATTCACTGTCCAACTTTCATATGCATATGAGGTTGAAAATACCATGACTTGGGTACCTTAGCCCTCAAACTGACATCTTTACTCTTCAACACTTTAAAGAGCAATTTTACTTAATACAATACCTCGTTTGATTTCTTGACTGCTGTTCCCATGAGTGTTGGTGGTTGATCCGAACAAAATGAAGTCTTTGATAACTTCAGTCTTTTGTTTATTGATCCAGTGGTGAGGATTTTTGTTTTCTTTACATTGATATGAAGTCCATACTGAAGGCAGTGGTCTTTGATCTTCATCAGTAAATATTTTAAATCCTCTTCACTTTCAGCAAGCAAGGTTGTATCATCTGCATATCAAAGATTGTTAAGGAGTCTTCCTCCAATTCTGATACCACATTTTTCTTCATATAATCCTGTTTCTGTCGCGCGCCCTCGCCGATAAAGGACGCGACAAGCAGGATTCTTCTGACAGTAGTTTATTGTTACAGCTCTTACAGGGTTACAGCTCTTTTAGTGGTGGTGGAGGACGACGTTGGGTAAGGGAGTAGCAGGAGAATATATACTCTCAAAGGAAGGCGTGGCGGGACATGACTGGTTACATGATTGGTTGGTAGAAAAATGCCTAATTAGCATACAACGAGTGGAGTTCAGCGCCTAATTAGCATACAACGAGTGGAGTTCAGCGCCTGCGCGCATGTGGAGAAAGACAAGGAAACAAGAAGGAGGAAGTTGAGGTCGGCGCCATCTTGTAATGGCGTTTGTAGCTCTCAACATGTTTCTCAAATTATTTGCCTAGCATACAGATTATGTAAGTATGGTTTAAGATTATAACCCTACTGTACACATTTCCTAATTTTAAACCATTTGTTGTCCCTTGTAATGTTTAAACAACTGCCTCATGGTCCATGTACAAATTCCTCATAAGCACAATTAATTGTTCAGGTATACTCATTCTTCGCAATGTTGTCCGTTACTTGTCATGATCCACACAATCGAAAGCCTTTGTGTGGTCAGTAAAGCACAGGTAAATGTCTTTCTGGTATTCTCTGCTTTCAGTGAAGATCCATCTGACATCATCAGTGATATCCTTCATTTCACACCCTCTTCTGAATTCAGCTTGAACCTCTGCAAGTTCTCTGTCAATGCATGGCTGCAGCCATTTTTATATTATCTTTAGGTGTGTGATATCAATGATATTGTCTAATGATTTCCACAATCCATAGGGTCACCTATCTTTGCAATGGGCACAAATACAGATCTCTTCCATTCAGCTGGACAGGTAGTTTGTCTTCCAAATTTCTTGGTATAGATGAGTGAGTGCCTCCAGTGGTGCCTCACTTTGTTGAGAGATTTCAATTTGTATTCCATCAATTCCGAGTACTTTTTTCTTTGCCAATGCTTTCAATGCACCTTGAACTTCTTCCTTCTGTATCAGTGGCTCTTGATCATATGGTACCTCTTCAAATGGCTGAACATTGGGCCTTTTCTTTTGGAACAATGACTTTGTATTCCTTCCATCTTCTTTTGATCCTTTCTGTATCATTTAGTATTTTGCCCATAGAATCCTTCAGTGTTCAAGTAGAGGCTTGATTTTTTTCTTCAGTTCCCTTAGCTGGAGAAATGCTGAGCATATTCTTTCCTTTTGGTTTTCTTATTCCAGGTCTTTGAACATTTCGTTATTGTCTTCTTGAGCTGATCCTTTGAAATTTTCTGTTCAACTCTTTTAGCTCCTCATTTCTTCCATTTACGCTGAAGAGCAAGTTTCAGAGTCTCTCTGACATCTATTTTGGTCTTTCTTTCTTGTCTTTTTTTTTTTTTTTTTTTTTAAGGTTTTTATTGTGGATTGAGTGAATGTTTACAGGACAGATAATCAGTTTTACATTAAAAAAATCATGCACCTTGTTTCATTACATTGATTATTTTCCCCTCCATGTACCATCAGTATTTCTCTCTATCCACTTTAGCTTTTTTTAAAAAAACAAAAAGCAAACAAACACTCAGGCATATATAATAATTTACACCTCAAAAGGACACATTCTGCAAGTCTGCCTCCTGTCTACCAGCTCGTAGTCCCTCTCTTCCCATGAGTCTAGGGCCTTCAGCCGCTCCCCCTCTCCATGCCCCCATCTCTGCCTCCATCTCTGGCATCGCTGCTTCTCTGGATTTGTTGTTGTTGTTATTATGTGCTGTGGAGTTGGTTCCGACTCAGTGACCCTGTACAGGGTTTCTGAGGCTGTTAATCTTTTCGGGAGCAGAACGCCTCATCTTTCTCCCGCGGAGCAGCTGGTAGTTTCGAACTGCTGACCTTGTGGTTCGCAGCCCGATTCATAACCACTATCCTACCAGAGGTGGTTACGAATTGGGCTGCGAACCTAAAGGTCAGCGGTTCGAAACTACCAGCTGCTCCGCGGGAGAAAGATGAGGCTTTCTACTCCCGTAAGGATTTACACCCTCGGAAACCCTGTACAGGGTCGCTATGGGTCGGAACCGACTCGACGGCACTTAACAACAACAACAACATCCTACCAGAGCTGGTCCTAGGGTCCTCTTGTTTCTGTACTGTAAGATTAACCACTCCCCTTTTTGTTGTTATAAAACTTCTACCTTTACAATTGTGACAGTCGCAGTTAGTCATGATAACAATTATTCACTGTTGAATCAAAAGAATCTTATCCCTGTCTCTTTACCGGACCCTCTAGACAAGATGAAATCTATTCAGTGGGGACTCTTTCTTTCCCCCCACACTCTTAAACTAAACTCCCTCTTGAAACCTTGTAAGCCAGTCACTTCGTGCCTTTATTGCCCCTTCATTTTAGGTAGCCAGTGTTTAAGTTGCCCCTCACTATATAGCCTGTGTACAGAGGGAATAGCATTGATACTTGATGTGAAGACTCCTTCCCTCTTTGTTGGTATTTACAGTAACTACCTCTCTGAGTATAGGTCAGATTCATCAAATTGTAGCAAATTACCCTTGTCTCCTTCATCAAAAAAATATATTTTTTTAATTTTAATAATCTTCCTCTAGTCTAGTTCTGATTATTGAGCCATCGAGGCTAGGTCAAATGGTTATTTTCTGCAAGTTTAGGTGTTCTTGTGCATCTCCCCTCACTTCATATCAGCTCTAGCCCTCTATGCCTATGTCCTTGTCCATGGGCTCAAGTGTCCTCAGGTTTCACCACACTTTGGACCAACCAGCCCTTCTTTCTCTCATCTCCAGGTCAACAGGAGTCAATGGACCATGGTTGAACTCAGTTCATTTCTTCATTAATGCCTTACCCCCTCTTCCACTCACCAGTAGACCAATGTGGTCGTCAGCAATTTTCCATGCCTGTTTGTATATTCCCTTTGAGTTTCAGTCTTAGAGGGGAGTTTGTTCTGAAGGCACTTGATTGCTAGCCTCGATGTCTTCCTGGCGAACAGCTTGCAATTCTTGTAGTAGCCAGTCATGCTGAAATTTTTGTTTTGGATTTTTCCTGATAATCTTTCTTTGAAGATGTATCTTCTGTCATTCTAGCTGTTCCAGGCTGGTCTGCTTGTCCTTTCTAGTGGGAATGTCCCATCTTATAAGGTTCTGGATGGGATTCAGGATTCCACCTATGGCCCTATACTCTGTAAAGGCTTTGCACAAGGCCTCTATCATGGGGCAAGTTCTAGAACCCCTTTTAGGTATTTCAATCAATTATAGGTTGAAGATGGGCTTACAAGTTTTCTGTAATCATGTTTCCCAACATTCGTTTTTATCCCACTCAAGTGTCTATTTTACAATAGTAGACAAGGGAAACTAATATTCATAAGGCAGTCAAGCATTTTAGTATTATTTCCCTTTTTCAAACTACACCTAGATCCCTGTATCCCAGAGCCCTGTTGTTCCAAGGTTAAGAATGAATCACTGTTTACCTCTGTCCCATTTAGTCTTTCAGATTGTAATCCAGTTTGCATCATCCAGGGAACCTTTTATATAATTTCTGCGTTAAATGACATTATTTGTATATGGATTAGAGCTACTTTTCAAAAAATTCCGAAAATTGAGTCAATTCCTACTTATAGCAACTCTGTTGGATCTCTGTTGCTGTAAGTCTTTACAGGAACAGCAAGTTTTATTTTTCTTTTGAGGAGTGGCTGGTGGGTTTGAACTGCTGACCTTGCAGTTGTCAGTCCAATACTTATCGTGCAGTGTCATGAGGACTCCATTCAGCTGAGTTGGTGCACCCATGAACTCCTTCTCTAAGTCCACAGCAACAGCAACAAAGCATGCAGAGTATTTTTTATTTTATTTTAAATTTTTATTGTGAATTGAGTGAATGTTTATAGAGTAGATCATCAGTTTTACATTCAACATATTATACACTTCATTTCCTGTCAGTGATTGCATCCCCTCCATGTAACCACTTCTGCCCTGGGATTCTACTTTCCATTCCGCCGCCTTTTACACCCCCTCTGAATTTTTCCCTTTTATAAACTAAAGTGAATAATGCCCTTTTGATTTTGAATGGTTGACCATTCCATTCCGTAGTGTGCATGTCTCACTAGTGTTGTTGACCCTTTATATACCTATCTTACCACCAGAGTTCCTACTGTCAGGTCCAGACCTGGGACTGACTACCAAGTCTACCAAGTCTCATTTTCCTCCAGTCTTTTCTGACCAGTAAACAAAATCATATATATAATTTTGAGTTTTGTTCCATATTTTATCCTACTCTATCTAGTATTTTCTAATGTGTCCCCAGTCAGAACAGTTGGTAGTGGTAACTGGGCACCCTCTAGTTCTTCTGGTCTCTGGGTTATGGAGACTGTGGTTCACATGTTTCAATATTAGTCTATTAGACTAATTGATAACAAGCCTCTTAAATTTCATCACTCTTCTTTCCTCTGCACAGGGAAAGACCAATAGTTGCAACTTAGATGGCTGCTCATGAGCTTTTAAGATCCCAGACTCTACTCATCAAACTAAGATGTAGAACATTGTCTTTGTAGACAGTGTTATGCCAATTGACCCTAGTGCTGCCTGAGACTATGGGCCTGAGCCCCCAGATCCAGCAGCACATTCCTTCAAAATAGGTTTGGTTATGTCTAAGAAGTTTTCATAATTTTATTTCCTGTATGCTCCACCTTATTCATGGATATGCTTGCACTGCGTTTTCTATTTTTTTAGATGTTTGTTTTGTTTTTCTACTGTTGGCTTCTTGAGGGCCAGGTAATGTCCTTTTATTTCTAATGGTTGACCATTTAATCAATCAATAAGCACATATAACATTTATTGATTGATTGAATAAAGGGATGAAACCTAAGTCCCTAAGGACAGGTTGTACTGTCTCCTTGTGACTTTCAGTTGTTGTCAGTCTAAATATTAATTGACTTGTGTTTAACTGAATTAATAACTCAACAAAGACTACTTCTTTTTCACTGATCCAGACACAAAGGCTTTAGCTTTTGTGTAGTAAAGCTTTAGCCTTTGTGCCTGGGATGAAATTTTGTAGCTGGAGGAGTTTCCATACTTTGTGGAAAGAGGAATGTTTCCTGTCTCTTTACTCTCCTTGTAATACAACATGCATACTCTTATTTTATTATTAGGAAACTGAGCCTCATGTCCTAGTGCCAAGATTCAGATCTGTCTGACCTAGATCTAAGCTTTTAACCACTACAAAAGCCTGGAGCAAGGGCAACTGGAGTTTTAATTATAGTAAATCACATCTGTAACTGACTGTGTGGCATATCTTGCAGATGTAGATGTTACTAATCCTGATGAAAAATCAATCATGACCTATGTGGCACAGTTTCTGAAGTATTCAAAAGATGCACCTGGTACTGGAGAGGACACTCAGGTATGTCTAAAGTACAAATCAAGGTCATTTTTGTTGTCCTCTACTAATTATTTAATTCTAAAATTGGGGGTATCATTTACATATAGTGAAATGCACAGATCTTAAATATACAGTTGTGAGTTTTGTATTCCATACTTCAATCATGACGTAAAATATCTGTGCCCCAGAACTCTATCTCTGCTCTATCTAGTCTGTTCTGCACCAGGAAACCAGTATTCTAATTTCTTTCTCAAAAAGTTGTGGTACTTATTTTTAAGTAAAAATGGTTCATTTATTAAACTTCACAGAATCATCTAAAAATCTTTTAAATAGGCATTCTTTAGGACAAATTGACTTAAGATGACTTTCAAAAAAATTCTAGTGATCTCAATTTTTTTAATTGTCATTTTAACAGGCTTATTGAGTTTTAGTTCATATAGCTTAATATTTACCCATTTAAAGTATACAATACAGTGACTTGTAGTGTGTTCACAGAATTGTGAAACCCTTACCATTGTTAGATTTTAGAATATCACCGCAAGATGAAACCTGTATATATGCTTTTTAATGTCACATAAATAATATGCATTGAGTTCTGCAGTTGACCCATGCTTATTAAACTACTGCTCAGTTTCCATCACATTGCATTTGATTTTTCCATGTTTCTCATTGACTTTGTCAATTACACAAAATACTGTGGGTGGAAATTTCATTTAAAAAATCAACGAGCTGATAAAAAAGCAACCATGTATTCTGATTCTATGAAGATGAGTAAGTGCTGTGCTTTAGTGAACTGTTTCTGGCTATTATTTTAAAATGTATTTCAAACTGTTCTCTCAGACATGCTTACCCAGTCATATTATCACATTTTACTTGATGAATAAGGCCTGGGCTTTTCCAATATGATGACTGGGGGTCTCTGCCAGAATGTTGCAGACCCTGCAAGAGAAACTCGAGCTTCTAACTCAGTTCACTTATTGCAGGCCTGTTGAGGGGTTGCTCTTTCCTAATTCATTTTTCATATTAAAAAATTTTTTTTAAATTTAACTGTCCATGAAATTAGATTAAAAAAAATATATTAGAAGGTACTTTTGCTTAATAGAAAAGCAAATGGACTTTTAAGGAGAATGGAAATAAGTTGTAAGAATATAAAAAAAACATCATTGTTGCTCACTTCCAAAATGCTTATTAGTATATTTTGTTTAAGATCTTTAAGAATTTTTATGCCTAAATTTTGCAGGGTGTCACCATGTCTTGAATGACTCGGTATTTAGATTTATTCTAAAGTCATCTTACAAAATGCCTACTGTTGAGAAGTGAGTTTTAGAATAATGTTCTCTAAAACCTGTCAAATAATACAAGTGGATACATCCACCAAAAGGGCACTGCTTGCTCTGTTCCTTGAGCATGCTAGTTGCAGTTCACTTTAAAATTTAAGATGTTACATGAATAAGCAAAATTCTTCTTTGGCACCATGAGTCATTGGTATATAATGGGTATATTGTAAGTTATGTTGTTTTAAAAAAGACTAAGTCTAAGATATAGTTTTAAATGTGTCTTTGTTTCTTTGAACTACAGGGAAAGGTGAAAAATGCGGCAGTTTGGTTAACTTCACAAGAGGAAAAGTTACAGAAGGCTCTAAAGGATTCAGAAAATGAGTCCTACGTTAAAAAGTATGAGGTAAGTATGAATTTAAACAAGTTATTTTAATTTACTTTTTTAGTAGTGAGGATGTTTTTAGAAAAATCTTTCAGATTTAATGATTTAAATAGTAAATTGACATCAAGTTTTAAACCAAATCTACCACCATCGAGTCAAGTGCAACTCAGAGCAACCTTGTGGAACAGAGCGCAACTATCCAATAGGGTTTCTCAGGTTGTAAGTCTTTAAGGAAGCAGGCTGATAAAATCTTTTCCTGCTGAGCAGCTGGTGGGTTCAAACCATCAACCTTTTGATTAGCAGCTGAGCACTGTAAGCACAGTACCACCAGGACACCTTAATACTAGGATCCAAACCCAAATTCAACTGCTGTGGAGTCTATTCTGACTCATAACGTGCCTACAGGCTCAGAAGAGAATGAGAAATCTTTCTGGGAGCGGACAGCCTCATGTTTCTCCCATGTGGCAGCTGGTAGATTCAAACTGCTGACCTTTCAGTTATCAACCTAACACTTAACACACCACACCACCAGGACTCCTTACAGTGCATCTTAAAATTTTTTTTTTCATCTTAAATCTTAACTTGCATAGGAATCACCTGAGGATCTTGTTAAAATTCAGATTCTGATTTAGCAGAACTGGGGTAGGGCCCGAGATTCTGCATTTCTAGCACTTATAGTGACCCTGCATAGGGTTTCCAAGGCTATGAATCTTTACAGGAGCAGAAAGCCTCTTGTAGCCAAATTGAATTTTTAGTCCTGCCCCTTACAACCCATTGCCTATGCAACTCTGCTACCTACCAAACTCCCCATCGTGAATAAATAGAGATACTGTCAAGTCCTTAAAGAGCAAGGAGCCCTGGTGGCATAGTGGAGTATGAAGTGGGCTGTTCACAGGTCAGTAGTTCAACCCACCGAACACTCATTGGGACAAAGATGAGGATTTTTGTTCCCATAAAGACTTACAGCCTTAGAAATCCTATAAGGGGTTGCTATGGGTCGGAACCAACTTGACGGCACATAGTCACCACCTCTTAGCACCTAACATCTCTAGACCTCCCTTTCTCTGTTAAATGAGGGAGTTCAGATTTAATGTTAAGTGGATTTTGATATGTGTGCTGTGCCATCTCATTGGGTTTGGAGCCATCTAGGAAGGCAGGAATCATTCTCATTTGCCATGGAACCAAGCATTGTTTGAACTGCAAGATTGGTAGTTCAAGCTCACCAGCCACTCCTCGGAAACCCTACACAGGGTCACTGTGAGTCAGAACTAACTTGATGGAACTTAACAATAAATGTCTTCGGTTTTGGTGCTGGTTCTGTTTTTAGCTCTGGTCTGAGAGTGTTTTCATTGCAAAATGCTCATCCACTGGATGAAAGAGCCTTGTTTTGACACATCTCTGATTTAATAATGTACTTCAGTTTCAGTTTTCTCAAAAAGAAAGCTTTTGAAGTTATTCATTATTGCAGAGAATCAATAAATTAATTATTCTTTTGTAGGTTGATAAGATGTAATAAGAAAATGTTGTCAACAACTCAACATATAGTTTGCATAAATACAAGCCACACACAAAAATTTATTTATTAATATTGTGAGGGCACAACAGTGTTTTCTGAAGTCTGTATAAGTGACTTGGAAAGAATTGGCTCAAGTTCTGTTCATTGCAAACACCCCAAAATATTTATACAACATATATCTGTTGTCACATAATTCTTGTTTCAGCTCATTCTTATGTCATGAACACACATTTGGGGAGGTGAAAGAAGTTCACATTTGGCACGTGGCATCATGACTTTGCCACTCTATTTGAATAGGTATCCCAACAGCCCACAAGCCATAGGATCAGTAAGTGCATACTAAATTTAGGCAATACTGCCTTTACTTTAGTAGAATTGTAAATATAACCTGTGTTGGTAGATCTGAAAATAACATGTATTTTATAAACTTCATTAGACATTTCAATCTTTAAAATACCTCTTGTGATTATAGAACCTGCTGTCCTTTTTGGAATCATTTAATGAAGAACAAAAGCCCTTTTTTGACAACTTGTCATTAAAAAAGAACGTGGATGAGTTAAATGAAGATCAGCACCAGTTGAGAAGAGCTTGGGATGACTTCAACCACCAGGTTACTGTGTTACAGTGATTCCAGGAGCATTTCCTCAGTGTGTTGTATGAGGACTTTAGACTTTCATGAGGAAGTCTGTAAAAAGTTGGATAGAGGCTTCATCAGAAAGTGGTATCATGTTCTCTGTATGTTTTCTCCAAGGACTCATTTGAATAGTGGTTGAATTTACATAGGAATTTAGAACATGCTGCATAGAGAAATTACAAGCTTATCTATAACTTTTATATTTGCTATCAGTTCTTGGTTTACCACAGTATATTGCTTAAATTCTGATAGACTTGCAGCCTCTTTTCTACCACAAACCATTGTCATGTGTCCCTGATAGTACATAAAGAGGTAAAGGGACAAACCGAGAATGAATGCAAGTAAGAATGTATGGATGTCTAAATATATGCGTATGACTTGGTTTGTTGTTGAGTGCTGTAGAGTTGGTTCTGACTCATATCGACCGTGTGTTGAGTTTCTGAGGAGCAGCTGGTGGATTTGAACCACTGACCTTGTAGTTAGCACTCCAGTGTTTATCCTACAGTGCCATACCAGGATCCAGGTTTGTTGTTGTTGTTAAGTGCCATCGAGTTGGTTCCGACCCATAGTGACCCTGTATAGGGTTTCCAAGGAGCTGCTGGTGAGCTTGAACCGCTGACCTTGCATTTCAAATGGCTTTGCAGTCTGGCGCATTAACCCACAACAGGACTCCAGGTTTAGTCCTTTTAAATTTGTTGAGACTTGGTGTATGATCTAGCAGAGGGTGGATTTTGCTGTTCATATCATGTGCACTTGGACAGAACATATATACTTCTGTTATTGGATATAGTGTTCTCTAAGTAGCAATTTATAAAAGGTGGTTGGTAATGTTGTTTACATCATCTGTGTCTTGGCTGATAATTTGCCTGGTTTTCCCATTAAATGCTGAGACGGGATTAAAATCTGTATTGATGACTACTAAATTCTGCTAATTCTGTCAATTTTTGCTTCATAATTTAAAAAACTTTGTTATCAGATGTATATGCACCTATGATTGTTTTGTTTTCCTGATGAATTGACTCTTCTACCACTATGAAATGTTCCTGTTTGCCTCAAGAGAATATTGGTTTTCTTCACATCTCTTTAATCTGATCTCAATATAGGCATTCCAGTTTTAGTATGTTGTATGTGTAGTAGGTCATTTCCTTCATTTGCTTTCCATCAATTTGAATCTTTATATTGAAAGTGTATGTCTTTAAGAACAGTATATAGTTAGATCTTGATTTTTAGCCATTATAACACTCTCGTATCTTTTTAATTGAAATGTTTAGCTCATTAACATTTAATTACATGTACTCTTCACTTGATGTGACACTGTAGGATAAAGCGCTGGACCCCAGGTTGGTTTGAATCATAAGGTCAGTGGTTCAAACTCACCAGCAATTCTTTGGAAACCCTATACAGGGTCACTGTGAGTCGGAACTGACTCAGTGGTAAACAACAACCAGTCTTCACTTAGAGTCCAACTCTTCACTGGACTGCTAACCATAATGTCGGCAGTTCAAACTCAGTTGCCACTTCTTGGGAAACCCTAGACAGAGTTGCTGTGAGTCAGAACTGATTCGAGGGCACTTAACAACTCCGCGCTTAACAATTATTTCATTAACTGACATTCTGTGATAGGACAGCAGTTAAAAATCTAATAGTTGACTACTTTGTGCATTAATGAGGTGGCAGGCCTGGTAGTGGCTTCAGAATATCCCCTTCCTCTGTTAGGACCTCCAGGCCATGTTGCCTTGCATCCTCCACCACCTCTTACTGGTAGTGGCAGCATGTTCAGCTGCCACATGGGGCAAGCCTCCTCTGTGGCCATGACCTCTGGACAGATGTTTAGGCAGGACCAAGCTAGTGGGTGCCTGTTCTGGGTTCCCAACTCCAATGCTGTCTGAGGCTCTGCCACTCAAATTTTTTGTGGTGTAGAAAGTGGGGAAAGACAGACTCATTAGAAAGAGTGTTTGGAAGAAATGTATCCAGGTATAATGACACTCCAAAGCAAGCTAACCTGGTCCTGAAGCTAGATTTTAATGTGCTTAACAATTCCTGCCTGGCAGTGCTATATCACTTACCACACTCTGCTGTAACCGTGAACTTTTCTGCTTCCCCGACTAGATGGTTTAGGCATGGGCTTTGGCTGTCATTTAGCTGGTTGACCCTCAAATGAAAGGATTTTGTTGAACTTGCTCTTCCATTCATGGTACATGGGTCTAGGCAAGAGCCCTACTTTTGTTTTTATTCACTTGTTTCATTTATTTTCTTTGATACCCACACCCATGGTTTGACCCACTTCTAAGAAATTGCATTTTCACCCCAGATAATAATGAATCGGAATATAAACCTGGGGATCTTGTTAAACCGTAGATTCCAATACAGTATATGTGGAATGAAAATGCATATTCTCAGGGTTTGGACCAGAATGAACTGCTTAGATTGTAAGCCCTGCTTTCTTCTTAAGTCACCAGTTCAATTACTTAGTATGTATCTTTTTATGCTTTTTGCAAAATACATATTTATTTGTACATGCTGTTGTTGTTGTTATGTGCCATGGAGTCAGTTCCAACTCATAGCGACCCTGTACAGGGTTTCTGAGACTGTAAATCTTCACAGGAGCAGAAATCCTCGTCACATACTTTAAAAAAAATTATTACCATTTTATTTATTTATTTATTTTAAGGTTTTTATTGTGGATTGAGTGAAAGTTTACAGGGCATGTCATCTGTTTTACATTCAACAAATCATATACCTTATTTCATTATATTGATTATAATCCCCGTCATGTACCATCACTTTACTCTATCCACTTTAGCTTTTTAAAAAAAACACACAAACAAAAAAACCCACTCAGGCATATATAAAAATTTATACCTCCAAAGGGCACATTCTGCAAGTCTGCTCCTGATCACCAGTTCTTAGTCCTTCTCTTCTTAGTCCATGAATCTGGAGTCCTCAGCCACGCCCCCTCTCCATGCCCCCATTGCTGGCGCTGCTGCTTCTTTGGTTAAGGTCCCACATTCTGCGTGTGTGTTCCTCTCTTGATGGTCCTAGGGTCGATCCTCTGTTTCTGGACTGTAAGATTAACTACTCCCCTTTTTTGTTACAAAACTTCTACCTTTACAATTGTGACAGTCGCAATTAGTCATGATAATAGTTATTCACTATTGAATCTTATAAATCTTATCCCCATCTCTTTTCACCAG